ATTTGTTATTAAACAATTCTCTTACCTTAATTAAGAATTTCTGTGAATAATTTATTTATTTTTTGAGGGTTTCCTTAAATGTTTTTTTTTTTTTTTGGGGGAACTAAGTGCTGCCCTTGGACATACTCTACCTGTTTGCTTGGCATTGTCTGCCATAGCTTAGACGTGTGATGAACCTGTTTATGCTTGGATTTGTTTTCTTCTTTTTTTCTGCATGCATGTCAGAAGAAATGATTGAAAGCTCTATGATCATTGTTATTCTATTACCATCAAGTCTTCCTTCTGTTGTAGCCTGTGAGTGACGTAGTTCTCATGTTATCTTGCAACCTTTCTCAAATTGATATTATTTAATTACAAGTTGATACGGCATGAGAGCCATCTTTCTCAATTTGATTTTTTTTGTTACTCTTCCATTTTTTATAATGCCTTGTTTTTCATTTGACATTTGCTTTCAGGGTAAATACAAAGTATACAATCTTTGTTCTGAGCGGCTGTATGATGCATCATTATTTGAGGGGAAGGTGTGTTTCAAAAATGATATTTTCATGTACATCACATAAGCTTGAGCCTGATAATGATAAATGCCTGTTCTTCTAAAGAATTTCTTTTTTAATGTAGATGTGCTGAAGTGAGCAAAATAGTTTCATCCATATTTTTTTAATTGTTATCTTTAATTTGACCAATAGTCATCACACTGTGTATTATCCAATTGACAAGTCCTTGCATTAATTTGCACTTATTGATAATGTTAGACTTTTTGTGTAATGTCTCTGTTTAACTATTGAAATATTTGGTTCTTAAGTTATTGTTATATTTTGGTTGAAGTTTGTTCCATCTCTGGCATATGGTATAAAAAATTCTTTCTCTAGGTTGCTAGTTTCCCATTTGATGACCATAATTGCCCTCCGATGCAACTGGTTATATCATTTTGTCAAAGTGCTTACGCATGGTTGAAGCAAGACATTGAGAATGTTGTGGTTGTCCACTGTAAAGCTGGAATGGCAAGGACAGGGTTGATGATTTCTAGTCTTCTATTATTCTTGAAGGTGATATTTTCTTAGTCCTTTTCTAAAAATAATATGAATGATTGGATTTTTCTTTATTTGTTTTGATATGTCGATCGATTTACTTAGAGTTGGTGAAATGTACTGCAGTTCTTCCCAACTGCTGAGGAGTCCATTGACTACTACAACCAGAAAAGGTGTTTTGATGGAAAAGGACTTGTTCTGCCAAGTCAGATTGTGAGTTCTTAAAAAATAGGGGATTATAGACTTATTACCACCCCTGTTCTTTTACAATTCTCGTGTTCATGTGCTTTTTTTTTTGGGTCTTTTTTAGAGGTATGTCAAATATTTTGAACGTGTCTTGACTTACTTCAATGGAGAAAATCCTCCTGCCCGCAGGTACATTGTACTTTAGCTGTGACTATAATTTTCGCTACAATTTTCCCGTCCTGACATTATATTATGAGCAGGTGCATGCTCAGGGGATTCCGACTTCACAGATGCCCTTACTGGATCAGGCCTTCTATAACTGTATCAAATCATAGTGGTGTGTTTTGTTTTTCTTCTTTCATTTTTCTCCACTCTGCTGGAGTGCTGATTTTCTAAATTGCTTGGCCGATGATGTTAGTATGTAATGTTTATTTCACTTTTTAGTGCATTGTATTTGCATGCTTGGGTGATAGAATTGTGCACTTGGTTTTCTTAACATGTTTGCAAATATTTATGTTGTTTATGATTTTGTTTGTGTTTCATGACATTGTTAATTTTTTCAGTTCTATTATTTTATGGCGATTTCTTAGTTAACTACATTTCTAAATGCTTGGTAAGTGATAGAGTATAATGGCGTTATACAATTCATGTAGTTGATCTCATCTAGTGCGATAAGGCTTGTTGTTGTTGTAGTATTATTTTATGGCCTTTTTATAGTAGGTTTTAGCTTTATGATACACATGTGCACATTTAGTTTGAAGGGCATTGATTTGTCAGGTTGTTATGCTATCCCTTCAAATGCACCTTACAACTATAGTTCCATGTCTTCTAGGAGATAATCTGAGTGGTAGAAAAGCATAAATAATTACAGGATTTTTAGAACCTTTGTTGGTGGCCTTTGGAAAGTGAAATACCGGTATGTGAAATACCTCCTAGCTGTGGTCACTCACCCATAAAAGAACAAAAGAGAGAAGGAAAAAATATAGGGTGCAATACTTTCTGTTTAAGTCCTGTCAATTTGTGTTTCTTACCCTCTCTAACATGCAGGTGTCTTGTTCTCAACCAAAAAGCATCCAAGAACCAAGGATCTTAATGTACGTTTGTTCAATTTCGTGCCAGCATGTTGAATGTTGATATTAAGTTGTCTTATTATTGAAGTTCTCTTCTATATGGCGTTAATTCTAAACAGAACCTTTTCTTTTTGTTACTGCAGCCAGAAGATTTTTGGTTTAGTGCACCAAAGAAAGGAGTGATGGTCTTTGCATTGCCAGGGGATCCTGGTCTTACAGAGTTGGCTGGGGACTTCAAAATTCATTTTCATGATCGTCAAGGAGATTTTTACTGGTATTTGATTTATATTCTTCACAAGTGTTTAATTGCTTCTTTTAGCAATGCTTTGTCAAACTGAAAGTTCATGCTTCTTTCTCTTGTAGTTGGTTGAACACAACTATGACTGAAAACAGGAAAATATTGAACACCAGTGATCTTGATGGTTTTGATAAGGTGAGGAGTTATGTTTTTTCTACAATGAGAGCTTGACGACGACACTCCCTTGCATTTCTGTTGATTAATTTATTGTCCTTTTTAAATCAAGATTTGCTGTTGAAATAGTAAAAGTGGTCCGGAATTCAGTGACCATTTGGTTCCTTTGTAGTTAGATCTATATTCTGCTCAACATTTCTTATCGGCTTTGGGCAGAGAAAATTACCTTCACCTGGATTCCTGGTTGAGGTCGTGCTTGTGGATTATAATGGCAATGTCCCGACATCCAATCCTGAAACTGTTACCAATACATCAGAGGAGAGGCCAAGTAGCATTCCTGCCCCAGTAGATGCAAGCACTACAGCTCCAAAAGCTGAAAAAGAGTCACAGAATCATGATAAAGATGATGATGTGTTTTCAGATGGCGAGTCGGAGGATTCTACTTCGAGAAGCAGGCAGGCAAAAGCAACTCCTGGAGCAGTTACTAATTCTAATTCGACCACTGGGTCTGAGTCTACAACTTCGAGTGAGATGAAAAGTGTAACGCATGCTACGGAAGAGATTTCTCTAGGGCCTACGAGCACTGCTCCAATTCCTAGTGGCAGTAAGCCAAAAGGTGAAGATGCAAGAACAGTGTCCAGTCTGGAAGCTCCCAGCTCAGAAAGTGAATTCAAGGCAATGGCTGCAGATGCTTCTGTTTTTACGTTTGGAGATGATGAAGACTATGAAAGTGAGTGAAGTACAGTGCTACCTTCGTAAAACAATCCAATATTTGTACATAATATTGCGTGTTACCTGTTGATCAACTATAGGATGTTCATTTCATTTGATTGTATTTACCTTGCAACGCTAAATCCGGTTATGGCACACTGGCTTGATACGCAGACGTTGCAATAAGATTCCTTCAAATTTACGCGAAAAGTTTATTGCTTTATTATTGCTTCCTCCCTGCTTACCATGCTCCGAAATTCCCGTCTGGGCAGATCTCATAATGTCAACAGCTTTATCCGCTCACAAGGATCGAGCAAATCCTCCTTCCTAGTGTAATAGAGTTTCGAAAATCAGTTTTTTTTTTTTTGGGGGGGGGGGGGAAGCTGTGCACAATGGATTCTGCGAAGCCAAATCAGCCGATTGAAGTAGACAGGAGTTGACCTAATTGCATAATGATGGAAGACCGATTGAGCTTTTCAGGCTTGTGGACTACTCTCTCTAATCCTATTTGTATTTGTAGGGTAGGTAGAAAAAAATTTATTTAATTTTATTTATAAGTTACGTCATTAAATTTACATAATAAATTTTTTCTTTTACTTTTTATTAAATGTTGCACAGAGAATGTTATTTAATTGAGGTAAAGTTGAGAATTTATTAAGTTTTAAGATAATGTTAATGAATTTTAATGTTTTTTTTAATATTGATAAAATATATTAAAAATGACTTATAAATAAAATTAGAGAAATAAGTTATTCTTAGCTTCCTAGATGAAGTATGTGAAGGACTTGCTATTTTGTGGCAGCTCGTACTCCAGGATTGTTCATTTGCTGGCTTTCGTGGGCAAGCCATCCATTGACCCAATCAATGCAAGAAACAGGAGAAGTTTCGTAAGCACTTACGAAATAAACGATCTACGGCTCCTGCCTCAGGCCCTCAACTCCTCAAATGGGATAGTCTGGGGCCTGGGGGTGGCGTCTCATTCTCTATGGTGGCAATATTTCAGCAAACACGACGGTGGCTTCATTCAGCATGGTTTCAGCAAAAGCAACAATGATGGTTTCTACTTTTAACTTTCAATGACAAGAAGAGCTGGGGACTTTATTTTCGTCTGCTCGTCAACATTTTATTTTATAGCAAAAGCCTTGATTTGCTTTGAAATTTCTAAAATTGACTTTTTAAATGTAATTAAAGCTATGGCGATATTTTCAAATCTCATTTCCCCAAAATTTATACTAATAATAATAAATACGTTACTTCTGCCTCATACACACTCATCCTCATCCCTCATTATTATTTAACTAGATAGAAAAATGTAAAGCTAATTGTTGATCAGAATTAAAAAATCTGATTCCACCGAATAAAGAATAAAAAAATCTTACTATATGCCTTTACGAGATCAGATCAGTTAAAGTTTCACGGCTTCACGCGGTTAACCTTTATGGAGCGAGAGCGACTCAATCAACAACAATTTCAAAAAGAAAATTAAACAAAACTTGTAACGGGAGACAAGTTGATTCATAATAAAATAAAAGAAAAATATATTTTTAAGTTTCTACACTTACGCTTAAATTTTATTTTACATTCCTGCATTTTTTTCTTCCAAGTGTTCTAAGTTTTTTTTCTTTTTTCCCCCCGATGTTTGAGATTTCTTCGTGGATCCAATAGTACGTTTTTCCTAAATAAGATAAATAAATAAATGGATCGCTTCAAAATTTCCCAAAATTTTTAACCTAGTCGGAGTTCTTTTATATTCTCACGCGCTTTATTTTCAATTTTGGCGAGTTATTTGAATACAAAGGAGATTCATCAAAGTCCCGGGGAGTAGCTCGGAAATCAGAAGAATCAGTGGATGCTGGAAGAAGAAGCTCCATATCTCTCCGCTTGTAGTATCAATTCCGAATAGTACTGGTAATTAATATCCCGCGTGTGTTTCCCTATATATACACCGAGGCCCGAGCAGTCACCGACTAGACACTTTGCAGAATCACCCCTATTTGACTTTCCGTATCATAAAGCGAGGATAGTTCAAAGGTCAAACGCTTCAAAATCTCTTCTCAATCGCATAAAAGCTCATTTGTCCGTCTATGTCGATAACTGGCATCCAAGGTCAAATTCTTGAGGTTACCGGTATGTGATTCGCCATTGTCCCTCTTTTTTTGTGTTTCTGTTTTAATGAAGAGAAAAATCATGCATATTGTCTTTGATAATGATGCAGTCGTAGGTTGCACTAAGTTGAAGGACACAGAATGGATTTCAAGGCAAGATCCCTATGTCTGCCTTGAATATGGTAGCACCAAGTTCCGCACCAGAACTTGCACAGGTATTGACTTGACTTGTGAATGAATTAGGTCAATTCAGGGAAAAATTACAAATTAAGCAAAAAATTTTAAAATAACTGTAGGAGAGCGTTCATAGAATTGTCCGTTTCAAATTTCATTGCCGACTTAATTTTACTTCAAAGCGGAGATGGCATATTTTGAACATTAACTTGTGCAGACGGTGGCAAAAATCCCATATTTCAAGAGAAGTTTGTCTTTTCGTTAATTGAAGGGCTTAGGGAAATTAGCGTGGTTGTTTGGAACAGCAATACAATCACCTTTGATGACTTCATCGGGAGTGGAAGGTAATTTCAGATTCTGTAGCTTCAATCTTCAAACATAAGTTTCTTTGTGTAAAATTCTCTTTTGGCCCACATTTATGATGTGATTTGCATATTTTATGTTCAGGGTTCAATTGCAAAAGGTTCTTTCAGAAGGTTTTGATGACTCTGCTTGGCCCCTTCAAACGAAAACTGGCCGGTAAACACCCAAAAAAATTGGAAAATGTCCTTGAGTTGTTGATTTTTCTTTTCTTGCTTAAACTATTGTCTTACATTTAAACTTTTCTGTCCTATTAGTAATGTTCCCATCTATCACCCCATAAAATGAATGTTAAACTTAAAAGGTCCCAGTGTTGCGTCAGATAAATGGAATGACTTCTTAACCTCAGTACTGCTAGTCCTTGAATTGAAGTGAGCTGGTTTTGCAGAAGCGATTGAGTTTTTAGAATTTACTAGAATTGATTAAACAATTTAAGGCAGATATTATCAGGTTTATATCTGGGTAGACTCATTATGATGCATCATTTTTAGATTGCGAATGTGCGAGAATCAATTATTAGAAAATAACTTGTATAGCGGTGCTCCTTAGAGTGTGTGTGGCAAACTGTAATCAGCGAGTCTGCACAAGAATGTCTTGATATCTTAGTGGCATCTTACCTTATACTAAACCATTGGTCAATCACTGAGTCACATGAAGCAACAAACATTTAATTTTTTTTTTTTTGGGGGGGGGAGGGGGTGAGGATTTCACAGTGCTGTGTCCTTTGCTTCATGATTCATATCATACTTTTGTCCTTTGAGCATCCTAGAGTTAAAGAAACTCATTCTCCCCGTCAGTGTTTGTTGAAGTTAAATAACACTCAACTTGTCTACACTTTTGATGCTTGGCTTTCTGAATTTCTAATGTTTAGTGGATATATATGTGTATCTATATAATCCCTTTGCACTCAGTGAAGTCTCAGATTTATAGCTCTCTCTCTCTCTCTCTCTCTCTTTTTTGGCAGACATGCTGGGGAAGTAAAACTCATAATGCATTATGCAAACGCCAAAGTAAGCTATAGCCTCGTTATGTATTATTCAGTGATTGGTGTTGATTAACTTGGAAGTAATTAATGATTTCATGTGTTTGTATCATATTATTGCAGAAACCAGGATCAAGTTATGCTCCATCGGCACCCCCGTACACGAATTCAAGCACCCAATATTCCGCACCTCCTCCTGTCTCTTATCCACCGCCTGCATCTGCCCCTTATACGCCACCACCACCTGCAGTTTCTTACCATCCACCACCTCCCACAGCTTACCCCTCTTCATCACCCTATCCATCATACCCATCCACCTATCCGCCACCACCAGGACCACCACCGCCTTATCCTCCTCCTTCCACCACCTATCCTCCTCCTCCATATCCACCACCAACTGCGGCTTATCCTCCACATCCATATCCACCACCTCAACCAGCCTCTGCATATTACCCTCCTGGTAATCTTTTTCCCACTCTTTTCAACTGAAAAATTTGGTTGATAGATTGTTAAGAGTTATTTAACTTTAAGCAGTTCAGGATTTAATCTGTTATTTGTTGGCAATAGTTCTTTTGTCTGTAGGCTGAAAGATGATAGAAAATTTGACGCAGAATGATAAGTGATGTTCCGAAAATTGACTTTCAAATTTTTTTGGGAGTTAAAAGCTGTTAGGTCTAACAAGTTACAAATGAATTTGTCCATTTGTCTTTTTGAATTCCCATTTCATTCTCTTGCGAAACGTTTGCCTGTTCTCTTTTTCTTTCGTAATATAATTTTATATTTCGCCTTTGTTGTCAGGCCCATATCCTGGAACGTACCCTCCGCCGCCGCGATATTAGAGATCTTTTTGTAATTAGTCAAGTGTAATGCCAGGAAGCATTATGTATTGACTTGGTCATGATGTAGCAGTCATCGGAAAACTAGGATTTTTTTTATTCAATTTTTATCTAGTAAATGGTTATTTTAAATCAGTTCTGTAGACATTGCCGGTATATCTTGTCAATTTCCAACGTTCATTTGCTCTGTATGCACTGGGAAGTTTCAGAAAGTGTCAATAGATTGGCAAAAGATCATGAAATCATGCGTTTTCATCTCTAGATCAACGACTTCTGTATTCCTTATGCCTGATGGTTGTGATGGTCGTTAGATTTTTATTGCCTAAGAATCATTTTTCTTCAGAAAGTTCTTTTTATGATTTATTATCGTATAGCTTCCACAAGACATGATTGTAGTTTTATTTGTCTCTAAATATGTTTTTATTTAATTCTGCACTCTTACATCTAATTCACGATTAGTGTTACTAAAATTGGACTAGATTGACTAGTTTAATTTGTTGAATCAGGGACTAGTCCCAAGTTTGGTCCTGTCACCTTAGAAAACCAGGAAATTTGAAAATCAGCCAAGAACCAGTCGAATCTGCCTCTAACCTGCCAAAATCAGCTAGGAATCAATTGAACAACTCATTTTATTTTTTATTCTTAATTCATATTTTTAAATTATAATTTATACAATTTATGCCTAATAAGCATTGTGAAATGAAAAAAAAAGTAAGAAATATGTATGAATTATGTATATATTTTAAATTTATAAATTATAAATTACGAAATAATTATATATATTTTATATGAAAATGATGTAATATTGGTGGATATTATCTTTTTTTATTGTATATTATTTGTTTGAAATTTAAATATTTATTTTTGTTACTATATATGATTATTTCTTTTTATTTTAATATATTAATTTATTCATAACTGGCTAGATCATGGTTCAGATTACGATTGGATTATTGAACCATGAACCAATACTTCAATCAGTTTAATAGTTAGTTCAATTTTCATAACATTGTTCCCGATGAGGGATCATGCATGTAAAATATAATAAGTTGCATTTTAGTAAGTTTTTATAAAAAAGTATATAAGATGCATATTCATAAGTTATGAATAATAAGATTTATTCATCAAATTTTATACACATTTAGCTATGATATTAGTATTTGTCAATATGAAATATTGACATGAGTGACAACCTAGACATTAGACAAGTATTATGGCTCGTTTTGTAGGCGTGAGTTGGAGTGAGGGAAGTAGAAATGAAAGTGAAACACAAAATTTTGTGCTTGGTATGCATGGAGTGATTTCTTGAAGAACTCACTTCCATCAAATTTAATGGAATTAGCTTTGACACTTAGACTCAAAGAATCTAATTCCACTTCTTTAAAAACTCACTTGCTAACCATTTTATCCTAACACACCTTGATTTCCTTAAACAATCCAGGATGATAACAAGACAATGGAGGATCACGATAGTTTCAATAGTGACTCCAAGGATAAGGTGATGACTCGGTGGCGATGCTATTCACAAACTCGCTAATGGTGATAAAGAGCCTCAGCGATGCAATGGTGATGATGGAATGTCATGCAAATCATGGTAGTAATAAATCTTTGATAGCTAGTTTGGTTTGATGTAGTGTAAGGAGATTACTTGTTATTCAAAAGCATCGTAAGATTTCAATTATTTGGTTGGCAATAGACAAAATAAAAGGGATTATATCAGATAAAGGAAATTACATTATGCATTATAAAAAGGATTACATCAATAAACTTATGTAATTTCTATTACAATCACATTTTATATCAAAATATCCTTCGTCATATAACATACTAAATAAACACATGTAATCCTTATTATATTTCATTTCATTTCTTAGCATTACATTATATTATATTTTCTCTAATTCTTTGAACCAAATGAGCTCTTGGGTATTGATTATGGTTTTTTATGAAAAGGGTATATGGGTCATTTCATATTATAAATAAATATTTTAATTAAAAATTATATCACACTTTCATCATCATATCAAACATATTCTCTCTTTCACCTCCATTTTTACTTTTCAATTTTATTTTCATTTTCACCTCTATTTCCACCAAAAACAGTTTTCTGTACCAAACGGGGCACAAAACAGCCACAACCATCGGTAAAAAAAACATCTACCCCCATAGAAGCAACGTCTGGCCACTGTAGAAGCAATAGCCATACCAGGAACAGCCGTAATATTCCATGATTTTTGCACAAATATCAGTTATAACAATAACTGAAAAACAAAAAAATATAGACGACAGAAAAAAAAAAGAAAAAAGAAAGACAAACAATAACTCAAGGCCGATCGAAGAAGTGGGAGGATGCTTCAAGTCTCTTGAACCCAAGAATGGCAACTGAGAATCCTCTACCAATGGTAATCAGAGATGCAAATCACTGGTTGTCCAGTAATTGTCGAGATGCAAATGAAAGGAAGGGCTAATGAAATAGGCTGACGGAGCACCTGTGAGCACTTAGGCCGAAAATGATTCGTATGCTAAGTAGGTCGAGGGAGAACTTGGGAGGAGGTGAACGACATCCCATCAAATATTTGAGAACACATCGGAGAAGAAGAACTGCATTCCGTCAATGAAACTAGCTACAATGGGTAATCTTGAATACAAGTTCGATTGTCCGAATTGCTGATGTACATATTAAAGAAAGATACTTAGAGAATGCATAAATTTGGGTAGTTTGAATCGTTGTTATGTATGTCTGTGTGTGCATGTGTTGGAATAGAAGTACTTTTCTTTTTCTTTTTCTTTTTCTTTTTCACATTGTATGAAATTAAAAAAATAAGCTATATAATTCATAATAGATAAACAATGAATACACTACTCCTTTAATATTATAAGATATTTTAAACTAAATTATATATTTAATAAATTAATTAATTATCTTTAAAATCACGTACTCTTTTCATGTTTATATTTATTTACTAGAATGTTTTAATCAAAACATATTATTAATTACACCTCTAATTAAGAAATAATTTTAGAAAAACCTCATTAATTACATAGTAAAAGATATAAAATACTACCTCCATTTCAAAATATAAGAAACTTTTAAATAAAATTTTACATACCAATAAAACTCATTAAATATACTTTACAACCTTACTTTTTCAAAATAAAAATATAAACTTTTAAAAATATCATTCATTTAATACTTTATTAATAAAAAAATATTAAAAAGAGAGAATATATGGGAAGAGCAATAATGAAAAAGCATAGTTAATAAAACTTTATTTTTATCAAAGTGTCTTATATTTTGAGACGCTCAATCTTCCCTAAACGTGCCTTATAATTTAGGTCGGAGGGAGTACTTTATATTTTTTAATGAAAAAAAATATCTTGCTTAGAATAAGTAGCACCTGATAAATTATGATAAATTATAAGTAATATAACTCATTTATATATGCTCTTAACGGAAAGAATATCTTGCTTAGAATAAATAACACCTGGTAAATTATGATAAATTATAAATAATATAACTCGTTTATATATGCTCTATATAATATATGGGAAGCATACACCACCATGGCAAGTTGAATCATATGAAAAGTGTCTGGGTCTCTTGATCATTAACTCTTGAGTTCGATCCCTAAAGGAATGAGAATAGAGATGACGTCCTTGATAAACCTTGCCCAATTTGAGGTCCAACCTGACTTGCATCCATATTTGTTAGAGCTATTGAGAGAATATAAAAAGTTCGAAAGCTGCACCATACAACTCATTTTGAACCCCATCCAACTTTTAAATTATTATTATTATCATCATTATTTTATTATTATATATTTTTTAAAGAAGAATGTAGAAATATACTGTGCGTACATAAGTAAACTAAATTGGTATTCATACGTATATAAAATTCTACTATTTATGGATTATAAATATAGGATTTGTTAAAGTGTGAATATCATTGAAGAACTGCCAAGGCAATTAAATGTCAAACGATGACCAAAAAATTCTGAAACATTACAATTGATTTAAAAATGATTTTAAATAAAAAAATTATAATTCCTTTTTTTAACTAATCAATTAAAAAATATTTTTAAATTAAATGCAAACAAGTATTTGTTAATTAATGAATGATTGCTTTTTAAAACATAATCTATACATATCCCTTCCTATATACCAACTTCTTTTTAAATTATTAAATTTATCAACTAAAAAATTATTTTTTATTATATACAAATAAAATTACTTACACTCGTGCCTTTTCATATCTAAACTCTTTCATATTTTTAAACTAATCAATTAACAAATGTTTTTTGTTAAATATAAATGATTACTTATTAATTAATGAATGATTATTTTATAATTTTTTTATAATAGGAATATTATAATCTTTTTTCATTTAAAATTATTTTTATATTAGTTTTCTGGTCCTATAATTGATATTTTAAAATTTTTTAATTTTTGATATTAAATTTTTTCAACTGTGCTTGAAAGTTAGTTTCCCTTTTTTAAATGGAAACCATGCCTGTTCATGATTCCACTTTACGTTATTTTGCTACTCCTCCATTTCTTTTCATGAGATAGAATTATCTATTTTATAGAAATAAAAAATATTTAATATTCTTAAGATTATATGATGTTTCCATAAATACCTTCTCTTAATTCTCAAATATTCTTCTCTTTGTCACACTCGTTTCCTCAATTAATTAAAATTACTCTAATTATAAAAAAATATCCAAAAAAATAAATTACTCCTTATTTAAAGGAAAGTTGAAAAAAAAATTAATTTGTACCAAAATTTTGTAAATAAAAATGTATAAAAAGACAAGCGTGAAACACCGTCAGTTGTAAAATCAATCCTCTCTCTTGCTTTTCAGTTTTCTCTTCCTGTGCTTTCCTCCGTTCCATTGAGACACAGTAAAGAGTGATGGGTTCGAGTCTCTGTCTCTTCTTTTTACGATGACCACACGGTTCCTTCACATCACACCTCATCACCCTCCTCTTCCTCTCCCTCAAAGAAGACGAAGACGAAGACGAAGAAGATGGCTTTTCAAGATTCTTCCTTTCTCCTCGATTCTCTCTACTGTCATGAGCCCATACTGGCAGAACCAGATGAAGATGAACAAGAACAAGAACAAGAACAACCTCAACCAGAGCTATCGCATGAACCTGATCTTTCAAACAACAATGCTTCTTCTGTGTTCCCTCTGCTTCTGTTGGACCAAGATTTGTCCTGTGAAGACCAAGAGCTAGTCTCTCTCTTCGCCAAAGAACAGCAGCAACATCATGAAGCTGCTTCCTTCAACCTGTCTAATCTGGAATTTTCAGACTCTTCACTCTCCTTGGCTCGTCGTGAAGCCGTAGAGTGGATTCTTAAGGTGAGTGCTCAACATGGGTTCTCTGCTCTCACTTCAACTCTGGCCATTAATTACTTGGATAGATTCATTTCAAGCTTCAAATTTGAAATAGAGAAGCCATGGCTGATCCAACTTGTGGCTGTCACTTGCCTCTCTTTAGCTTCCAAGGTGGAAGAGACGCAAGTCCCTCCTCTTCTAGACCTTCAGGTACGTTAAAAACGCAACCTTTGACTCTTTCCTTTCTGTTTAAGTTTTCATTCTTAAGAGATGACAGATCTGTTTCTTTTCATCTGTGCACTAGGTGGAGGATGCCAAGTACTTGTTCGATGCCAAGACGATTCTGAGAATGGAGCTTCTGGTTCTTTCGACCCTGAAGTGGAAGATGCACCCAGTGACACCATTCTCGTTTTTGGATCACATCATAAAAAGGCTTGGATTGAAAACCCATCTTCACTGGCAATTTCTCAGGCGTTGTGAGCATCTTCTTCTATCCGCACTCTCAGGTAAACATCTCAGGAAAAAAAATCAAACTTTTTTCCCATCAGAAAACAACGAATAAAACCACATTAAACTGGATCCTTATAAAAAAAAGGAAATACTGTCTGTAGATTCAAGATTCATCGGCTGTCTTCCTTCTCTGCTGGCCACTGCTACAATGCTTCTTGTTATAGAGCAGATACAGCACCACGATGCATCCGAATACAAGAAACAACTTCTGGGCGTGCTTAAAATCAACGAGGTATGAGGTTAATTCCTGTTCTAAATTGTTCAATACTAATGAACATGGGGTTTATTAGATCTGTGTTATGTAACAGGAGAAAGTAGAGGAGTGTTATAAAGCAATTCTTGAGATGTGCAGTAATAATAAAAAGAAGAGAAAGTATGAAAGAATAATCCCTGGGAACCCAAGTGGCATGATCGGTGGTGGATTTGGGGCTGATGGAGGATCTAACGGTTCGTGGAAAGTGGGGGCTTCTTCATCGTTATATTCTTCACCTGAGTCTCTGTTCAAGAGGAGCAGATCTCAACAACAACAACAACAACAACGCAGTAATATGAAAATGTCTCCATTAAATCGGGTGGGTGTTGCAATTGTTGTCTCATCTCCTTGAGAATCAAGAACTTGTAATTTTTGTACTGTGACAATTAATTATTACTTGCACGTTTTGACTAGGACTGGTGAATCATAAGTATACATCTCTCTTCATTTTCAGCAATGTCCGACGTGCATATCTCAGAAGAATTATTAGAGCCTCGTTTTTTAATAGACTACTAGAAAACTATGAATTAAGGAATGTTAATTTTACAGTTAGATTTAAAATCAACGAGAAAGACAGTGTGGGAGTGTTAGTCTTTCTTCAGGATAAGATAATTACCTAGTAAAACAGTGAAAGAGTGTTAGGCAGGTTTGAAACTATTTTTATTTTATTATTTTGAGAATTGATATTTTATAAAATATATTTTGAGAATAAAAATAAAAATAATAATATGTGTTTTTTTATTTTCTTTTATTTTTCAGAACAGTAATTTTAAAACATTTAAAAGTTGTTCTCATTTTTCTATTCTCTAAAACAATATTTTTTTTTAAAATATATTTTAAAAACACATTACTAAATAAGTTTTTTTGTTCTTTTATCTTGGAGAACAAAAAATTATTCTCAAAACAGGCTGCCAAACAAGCCTTAAGTCTATTGATAACAAGATAATTAATGAATAAAATAGTAAGAAACTATCATTTCTCATCTCTCTAAAATTAGATAACTAATGAGTGGTTTTGTCTCTAGCTAATTATTGTGAAAAAAACTTGACTTTCAAAAATAAATTTTAATTAATCATATATTTATATATGATCAACAAATTAATGAATAAAATAGTGAGGAACTGTCATTTCTCATCTCTCTAAAATTAGATAACTAATGAGTGATTTTGTCTCTAGCTAATTATTGTAAAAAAAACTTAACTTTCAAAAATAACTTTTAATTAATCATATATTTAATTATTTTCATTTAAAAAATAAAAATTAAATTTATAAATTAATTAAAATATTCATAATAAAATTATTTAATATTTAATATTTCCTTTCTTTTATATTTTTATTATAAAAATAATATTTTATTAGAAATATAATTTAAATACAAATATAAATATTTTTAACATATTAATTGTTGAAAATAAAATGTAGTATTCATGTGTATTTTTATAATATATTATTTGATATATCTGTATACTTAAATAACATATGTTTAATTAACCATATAATGAATATATGTATTTCAATTTAAATGGTTGAGAATAAAAACATAAGACTTAGGAAAGGTAGGAAGTTAAGGGTTTAACTCTTAACTTTGGTATAGACATAATAAATATGTGACATGATAATAAGAAGGTGTAGCGTAAGTAAAGGATGACATGCATGAGTGGTTGTACATGTAGCCAATGTCAAGACGTGTAATGATATGTCACATGGCATGAGCCGATCCACATATGGCCAATGGTATGGCATTAGGCAGCTATTTTTAAATATAAGCATGTTTGGTGAGAGATTATCAAATGATCAAATCCCTTATTTAATTCCCATTTGTCCATTGAATTTAATAAGACTATTTTTTGTTATGAAAGTAGTGAGTGATAAAATTCCTCGCCAAATTCTATTTAATAAGGGATATATGTTATTTATTGAGAGATTTATCTTTCATTAAGTTAATTTTTTTAATAGTGATATAATCATCATGATTTAAGATAAATTTGGCATAATTTTCTTGTCAATATTACATGTATGTTTCAATTATTTTTATCTTCACTTCAAATTGTTATCTTTGGGCAGGACGATGGCTTTTTTCCCTTCATGCTATAACCAGTGAAACAAATTAATTGCTTAAATATTACACCGTGAAAAGCATTTATCAATATTAGCACCAATCATTAACGAGGAAACAATCAAACAACATTGGAAGACATATGATTAAACACTTATAAAGTCAATCCCAAGTAGTGCGATACAATATACATATTATCTTTTTGCGACAAGATATAGTTGGATTAGACTAAGTATGACTATCTTAATCTCCATCTTTTTAAAAGTATATAAGAAAGATGGAATAACCCATGTGGGTAACATTCCTCAAACTTTTCTTTTTTACTTTCTCTAAATTGCTCAGTGACTTTTCTTTTTCTTTCTTTCTTTTTTTTCCCTTGGTTACGGCCTCTTTTACTTTTAGACATTGGGAAGATTCAGTGTGGCCATTTTAATGGATTCTCTATAGTGCATTTTGAAATGTTTTAGTAGGATTAGATTAGACATGGAAATTTCAAATTTGTATTGAACATTTAAAATCCATATTTTTTTACCTTGATTCTATTTTCGAAGCCTCTCAATTGTTTTGTTGGTTGAACTGATCTAAATTTGTTTAAGCTATTGCATTTGCTGGTTTTATTATTAATTATTTTCATCTCATCTCAAAATGTTTTTTAGATAATCAACTCACCCCTCTCACAGTTGGGATTGCTTTCTATGCTTATTTTTCATGAGCACATGGTGCTCATCCTTAAAATGAGATTTAGACCATCTAAATTTTAATCTGGATAGTTTAAATTTAATAAATTATTATATATTATATTTGTTAAAATTATAAAATAATTTTAATAAACTTTGTACTTTTAATTTGGTCTAGATTTAATTTAACAAATCTAATTTAATATTAAAATTTTTATAATTAATGTATATTGATTATTCAAATGTACTCCACATAGTTATGAACTATGCAGAATAAATTTGAACAATCAATATACACCAATTATAAAAATATTAATATTAAATTAGATTCTCTAAAGTTAATTAAATTTAGACCAAATTAAAAATAAAAAATTTATTAAAATTATTTTATAATTTTTATAAATTTTTATTTTAATAAATATAATATATAATAATATAATAATATTTTAAATTTAGACTATACAAATTAAAAATTTAAATAGTTTAAATCTCATTTTAAAGATGCTCATCTTTGAGATGAGTAGAGAAATGAATCCTCTCGCAGTCTTCCTCACATCAAAATTAAATTTAAAATAATGAAAAATAACAAATTGTTTAGTTTTGGATATAGAATTCGCCAAAAAAAAAAGGGGAAAATAATTTTCCATGATAAATTTTGACCTTCCTCTTGTGATTATTTGGTAAAGTGTCAATATCAAACTTTATGAGTTTATGTTTTTCTTTTTTGTTTCACACTTAAAATTGGTCAAAGCTACTAAAGCAAAAGGTATTTCATAATTTTCCCCCTAAGAAAATATCCCACCCGATTCAGCGAAAAGTTTAATAAAATTTTGTAGATTGCAATACATCACATGGTCGTCGCACGTCAACATTAGAATACAAAATCAATTTTTCATATTTTCATCCTCATTCTTACATAAACCACACAAATATTTTGAAATCTTCTTATCTGACTAAATTAATAAAGGAAACATCATGATATTTTGGAGCGAATTTCTTATAGTAGGTATGTTAAGTTATATAAATGTATAGTATTTCATATGTTTATGTATTTATTTATAGTTGGTTTAGATCTTGAATAATATGACTAATTATCTTCAGTTCCTTACAAAAGACAGAAATTATGGTCTAATCTAACTGTGGGACACAATATAAAACACATACGTAGAGTTCAAGTCTCTAGGCACATGCGTACATGCTTGTCAAGTCCAACCTTGGCATGGAAATTTAAATTTTCCTAAATTTTTTCTTTTTTTATTTTCATTTTCGCGGAACAACTCACAGCTGTAAAGTCAGAAAGCAAGAGCAACAAGGAAGACAATATCTATTTGCGGGGCCCACCAGTTCCTTTGTTTCTTCAGCAGAAGAAGACAAACTACACAGTTACACTTACACGTGGAAACTGTTTCTCCATCTAAATAGAGACACGTCACTTTAATTGTAATATAATTTGATATATTTTTTATTTTTGAACAAAATATAATTTGATAGTTAAGATTTCATACTCTATCAAATCTTAATATTTTAAATATCCACTTCCTATCAAGTTATATTTTTAATAAATTATTTATTTATTTTTAAAATTATATATATATATATATATATATTTATTTAAAAAGGTATCTTAATTAAAAATTATTAATTATATCTTGAATTAAGAATATTTTTTAAAAAATCTTATTAATTATATATTGAAAGACCCAAAATATCTTATACTCTTAAGTTTTGAACATCTTACCTCATAAAAATATTTTATACTTTTTAATTGCCTCATAAAAAAATAGTTGCAGACTTTGTTTTGATTATAGATGTAATGTAACACCTCAATTTCATTTATCTCATATATTTATTATTATTTTTTCAATAGTGATAGATTCTTGTATTATGTGTAAATTATATTAATAGAACCTAGCTCATATAATTTTTTTATTTATATGAATTAGTAAATGGCTCTTAAATTTGAGAAATTAAAGTATATAATTAAATAGTTGATATGAAAATCAAATAGTTGTTCAAGACATTGGATTTTTTTTTTCAACTCAGGAGTTTTTTCTCGTTTAAAATTTGTATGATATATTTTTAAAAAAATTCTAATTTTTATCTTCATACTTATATTAATTCTAATTTTTGTGTTGTGAATTGTTATAGTACTCTTGGGTAATGAGTGATTCAAGTTGGACAGGAGGCTTGGACGGACCAGGAAGAAGACCGACTCAGGGGCAAGGTTACATGTCACATCATACGTTGAAATTAAATATGGAACCTAAACATTTTCGAAGTAATTAAGATATTAAATTCACAGACTCAAGTGCAAAGTTTCCCTAGAAACCTTCATGGTTCCCCTGCTTGGCTTGAAATTAATCAGAAAAAAAAAGATTTTTAATTGGCCAAAGAATTAAGAGAACAAAACTGCGAACCCCGTTGGAAAGAGCATGTAAGAAGGTCATTTTCTATTTTTTCAGCATATTTGATTAAGTACAAGCAAGTCAAGTCAACAAAAATGCCCTCAAAATTATGTTTATAAAGTTTAATAGAATATTAATATAAGCATTTTTTGTTGGCCAATTTATTAATAACTTGGATTCTTAATTAAATATAATTGCTTTTTCTTTTAGCCAGACTTAACCCCATACTATCACTACCACAGAAAATCTCATTACTTGATGGTAATTTTTTTGCT